AATTGATTTATTTTAATATGAAAGTAATATGATTCAAAATTTTCAAAAAAAAAGTTGAAGGGTTAATTTCAAAAACATCGAAAGGTATATGGGTTCAATATCTTTTCGCTTAGGAGAAAATGAAAACTTATAAAAGAAGAAAATAAAAATAATTAAGTTTGAAGTTGACTTGTCCAGAAGGGAAAATTAAGTTTTTGTTTTTCTTTCTCATGAAACCTAATAATCCGGTGATCCAACCCATCTAACCTAATGGCATATTTGATTCAGCTTTTAAGTACTTCAACTTTTTGACATTGTTCATATATTATAAATTAAAATTTTTCTCTTAAAATGTTATATTTTAAAATTTTTTTAACTTTAAAAATACTTAAACAGTAAAAGTTAAAAAGTTTCAAATTTAAAATTTTCATAAACTTCATTTTAACTCCATTTTTACTCCATTTTACTCACTTTTGATTCACTTTTTCTTATTTTTAAAAGCAATTTTTAAATTTTCTTTCTAATAAAAATTTAAACTTATCAATTATAAACAGTATAAAAAAACAAAAACTCTTACTAGCTAATCCAAACATGCTCTAAATGAGTTTGAACAAATCGGGTCAGACATGCTGACCCATGACCTGCTTTAATTGGAGTGGGTCGGGTATTAAATCGGGTCAATTTTTGTGAGATCTACAAAAACAACCATTGGAATATGCATTAGTGAACGCCATACTAGTTAAGAACTTGATTTTTTGTATTGAAGGTTTTAAATTTAAGTTTTGATATAAATAAAAAAATTTAGAAAAAAAAATTATTTTATTATATAATTTATCATTTATCATATTATTTTTATTGTATAACCAATTATTTACCATTCCTTTATCGGGATGGTTATTGTCCCAACATACAAAGGAATTTTCGTGTAGGTCGAAAATTAAACATGTAATACTAGTATGTACTTTACCGGACAAATTCTAGATTGAAGGTCACTACCAGTGCTGCCATTTTTGAGTGCTTGCACTGCAAAACCACATATAGTCGAAATATTTGCGAGGGAAGCAGAAAGAAGCTAGAATAATTGAACTATGAAACATATATAGCAATGACTATGGTAGATGATATATACCATTCTGAGGTGAGTAACACCATCTTTTTCATTTCATGTTCCATATTCGAATGCTTCTTGAACCATCCATCCTTTCTTGTTAAACGGACGCTACGTACAGCTGCAATCGGAATATTCAAATTAATCTTTTTAATTTCTTGTGTTCTACTTTCCTTTCCACCGAACAAACAATCAATCATTAATTACTTCAAAGAAAGACAGTTAAAAATCCAACACAATAAATAACGAGGCGAGGAAAAGTTTTTAGCAAAAAACAAGCAGAAATTGAAAGAAACCGACCGGCAGCAGTTCTAGCAACAACGTAATTTAAACGCCGGCCATCTCGGTAACAGAAGGCAGACTACCATTCATATGAAGTTGGTACCTGGCGTTTTCTTGATATTCTTGGGAGCGCACGAGCTTAACAAACACAGAAGAAGAAATGATCGAGAAATTGAAATGGTGTTTTTGGGTTTTGAAGGAGATCAAAGAAGATTGGGGATGATGTCGAAGGGACTTAAACAGAAGAAGAAA